GATGGCATCCAGATGAAGGTAAATGAAAGTTGGGAGCGTTTGGGCCGTTTGGAGACACGTGTTGAGGGAATTCATGATGAAATGACACAGCAGTCAACACTGATGAGAGAGATCTTGGCGCGTCTACCTCCACCTCCAGCTGATGATACTGCAGGTTCTAGCTTCCCATCGCAGCCCCCGTATTGATCATGGAAGTATCGTTTGCCTCATTTGTACTCATTTTCCTTAAATTCTGCCATCTAAATTTAATTTTCGCATTGAGGACAATGTCTTGTTTAAGTTTGGGGGATGGTGGCATAATTTGATAAAGACATTCGGCATGTAATTAATTGCATTTTCACAATCCAGATTTAATTTGACTAATTGTTGCATGAGGCATGCTTGTGAGTGAATATTGATTATGCTTATGTATGCTTGTGTGAGCTTAATCGCCTTGCCGGCCATGATGTTACTATTGGATTAGTATATTTCAAAACTTTGGAGTCTGTGTTAATTAGGCCAACTAATACTTATTGATGTAATACTTGATATTCTTTATGCACGCCATTCATGTTTTACATGTTAGGTAAGTGATTGGGGTTTTGAGCATAAAGTAGGAAAATAATTGTAACACTCTATTGAATTAACCCGTAAACTACCTTAAGACAGTTTGGTAATAGTTGAGATATTATAGGAGAACATTGAGATAAGTGAGGCTCCGTGCATAAATTATTGTGTGGATTACCTAGACCAGTGGGATGAAGAGTATGTGAAAATCTTAAATTGAGGGTAGATTTTGGATACCAGATGTCTAGAAAAATAAGGGCATAAACTTAATTTGTGAGAATAAGACACTTCTTTTCCAGTCTTTATGAGTCGAGCAAGTAAGCTTATAAGGATATTTCAAAATATGGTGTCCTAAGGTCAACTGATCTGGGAGTCACCGGCCCAAAGCTCGATCCATGGGTCATATGGAAAGCAAGAGGTAAAGAGGTTAATAAAAAGTCATCTGATTGAGCCTTTATAACTCGGGTGAATAAGCTTGTAAGGGTTTAAAACCTAGTGTCCTAAAACCAACTGGTTTGGGAGTCACCGGCCAAAAGCTCGTTACATGAGTTATATAGAAAGCAAATGATCCGATGATAAAAAAAAAAAAAACCAGAGAAAAGTGAGAAAAACAAAAAGAGACAATAACAAGAAGAAAAGCCCTTGGACAATTGGTGGAAGAAACTATACCTTTGAGGCGAGGCAAGTAACCTATTTTAGTCTTGAGTGTCGAAGCAATCAAAACTAGGAAAGCCTTCACTTGTTGACATGTGAATTTGTGATAGTGAAATTAATCCAAACTACGAGAGGGTGAGAACTATAGCTAGGTAAACTCATAATTTTTAAACACAACCCCGGGATAATTGAGTGAAAAGAATAAGTTTGGGGGGTTGTGTATCTCTGGAGCGAGTAAGGAGATATTTGACCACTTGGAGTCGGGACTCAAACTCATCATGAACTTGATATGTTAGCATGAATCCACACACACACGTCAAGTATGCACTTAACAGGTAAAGGTTGATGTCATTTTGCACTGATAAATTTTCATAAAATCAATTACTTAGTCCAATCCTGAGCCAAGGCAAAGTATTAAGCCATGTTTGTTCAGAATTATATCACTATCTTGTTTGAGGACAAACAATAGTTCAAATTTGGGGGGTTTGATAAGTGTGTTTTTGCATACTTATTTACATCACAAACATGACTTAAATACAAGTAAAATGATTGAATTGTTACTTAACTTTGTCAAATTCATGCAATGTAGGTAATTCTATGGAAATAGTGGAATTCAGGAGAAAAGAAGCGAAAAAGGACCAAATTGGAGCAAAATGAAAATTTAGGGACCAAATTGCAATTATCTGAAAGTTGACCCGATGAACACATCAAGCAATTGATCAAGCTAAGCACCAATTGGAAGTTATAATGGAACATTGGAGCAACGAGAAACAAGAGAGGAGGTCAAGGAGTGAATGAATGAAACTTGAGGATCAAAATGACTCAAATTAGAAGTTCGCTCTACTATGCGGTCGCATAGTAGAAAACCTATGCGGTCGCAAGTGACCCTCCAGGGATTAAAAACGCCCTTTTTCATATACCTATGCGGTTGCATAGGTTATGCCTATGCGGTCGCATAGGTATAACTTGTCTCCGATTTTTGCAGTTTCCTTATATGATTGTAACTCCTTTGGTAACCTAATTTCGACGGATTTAAATAGCAAATAAACATCCAGAAGCCGCACGAACGAATTGGGAGGCAAAAACATTCATCTTGGAGAGGATTTGAAGACAAGAACAAGAATTGATGCGAAAATTTACAAGATTTCTTCAAGTTTTGATAACCCGGTGATGTATTTTATTCAAAACTTGTTAGATTTCGTTATTTTTATCATGATAGGCTAGATTTCTACAACTAGGTGATCGATGAACCATGTAATTATTATTAAACTTGTTATTTCATGATTTTGAATTCATAGTTCGATGGGATATTTGAATGGATTATATTGCTCTATTTATTTCCACAATTAATATGCACTTAATTTGTGTGAACTTGGTGGTTTAATTCTAAATTTGAGAAAATTGGATTAAACTCGACATATATAATTCATCATAGGGTCCGAAGGGGATAGAAATATACCCCTATGCCCTATGTAAATCTTTAATTGCTTACAAAAAGATTACATGCGTTCTTGTATAATTGCATCCGTATAGAGATATAGGCTGGTGATTTATGAGAATAGGTTCAACACATCTCGAGAGAGAGTATTGAATAGATTTAGGAGCATTGATTTGTCAAATTCTTATTGGATTATCAAAATTGTGAAATTAGGGTTTAATTAGTAATTATTTGGGGATTCGTGATCCTAGTGCATTCGTTTTACATAGATTTTCATAAATTGACAATACATTTCATTTATTTTCATAACATTTCGTAATTGAGTCATTCGTTAAGTTGATTTGAAATTAGGGTTTTTCAATTTGGGGATTTCTCCCAAAATTAGGACTTTTGATTCTAAAATTCATCTTAATTCAATCAGTTTCGGTTAAGGCTAAAATAAATAAAATTGAACTACTCTTTCTCTGTGGGACGATACTCGGACTTCTAAAGTTCACTTTATTACTTGTCACGACCCGTACACTTGTAGTAATTTAAATCGAAAGAAATATTTCGCGAATAGCGTCTGAGAGAGATACACCTAAATTTCACTATTTCTTCTACTTGAGAACATTTAAATGGATGAAGATATTATGACTACTACCAGCGAAAGAAATATTTCTATTTTTCTTAAAATTCTAGGTCTAAGGAATCAAGTACATACCTCTTTGATCATATTCATCTCGTTCCTTCAAGAACGTGATAATTAATCGGATAATAAACACGATACAAAAAAAAAAGATGATTGGATATGCACAACACTTGAATATTAGCGGGATATACACAATTAAGACAGATATGCAAAAAAAAAAAAAAAAAAAAAAAAAAAAAAAAAAAAAAGATGATTGGATATGCACAACACTTGAATATTAGCGGGATATACACAATTAAGACAGATATGCAAAAAAAAAAAAAAGAAAAGAAAAGAAAAGAAAAAGTATCTACTATATGTTGTGGCGATTGGATATTAAGACATCTATGCTGCGATGAAAATAATTATGCAGCTAGGTAGAAATTGCATGTAAGAATATCTGTCACCAATAGCATGTATATACTTCAAAACAAATAGCTAGGTAGAAACAAAATTTGGTTCATTCATTATTTTCGACATTATAATGCATATGCCTATAAAAAAAAAAATTTCACATGTCACCAAATTAATTTCAGCATACGTGACAAATGATTATGCTTGTAAAAATTATTACCTTCTAACTAATTCACTTTACTTTTGATATAATCGTGTTGTCAACGTGTTATGAAAAAGAGAGAAGAATGAAGAAGTTAATGGACTTGTGTGCATTTTATTAAGAACCAAAACCTCATATTTATAGGAAAGAATTAGAGTTGTAATAGATATAATTGTAATAATAATTAGGACTGTAGGAATATAGTTGTCATTCATTAATAAACATATTATTTACAATACTTCTGATGATTTTTTAAAGGGTAAACATATTCACACCACATTTTTTATTAACTAAACCGTGTTATATTTAAAATGAAGGTCCTTAACTTTTGTACTTGTGCTTTCAACTTTTTTTGTCGTATATTATTTTCAACCTTATTTTAATTAATACATCTTATTACAGACGATGACCAAAAAATATGTTATGAAGAAGTAAAAATATTTATTTATCATTTGCATTTTTAAGTACACTAGATGAACAACACTTACATAAGTTTGACAAAATATAAATCCCATTTTAGCATGAAATTTGAATAAAAATTTGTTATCAAGTACTAGATGTAATAATTAATTGAAGGGTAAAAATAAAAATGTAATGAAAAAGTTTATAAGTGCACAAAATGAGCAACATTTAAAGACTTTAATTATAACTAAAATGTAGTGCAATTCACAAAAATTATCGTGTGACTATAATTACCTTTTTTAAATGTAGACGATTTAAATGTTCTGTTGTCACACATTTTTTGGAAGATTAAATCGTTATTTGGTGGAAATTAAAACCAAAATTTTAATTCAAGTCAAAATCGACAATTACTTTTTAATTATACATTTCACGAGATTTATAATTTTTTAACCACATATCATATCAACTTATATTAAAATCAATTAAAAATTAGCCCTTATTTGTGCTCTATTTTTTCATTAAAATGTATTCTTGAATAGTGATTTGATCTTCTTTTAATCACACATTCTTTAATAAAATAATATTATATGCCAACTCAAAATATTTCTTTATTTTTAACCATATATCATCCATCATAATATTATTTTAAAATACATTTTTTTTTAAAAGAATTGGGCTCCAACTAATTTTTATCCCCCATAAAGAAGGGGATGGACGCGTTTGAGATTGAACTCCTGCGCAGATTTCCCTAAAATTTTAAAGCTTAGCTTTCCTTTTTCCACCGTCAAAAGCATATAGTTGACCGCGTGTCTCAAGTCAAATCAAAGCCCATTCAAAAATCCGTAGTACATGTAATGCAACGATAACTTTGGCTTCCGCGCTGTCTCTTTGCGTATTTATATGCAAGCAATTTAGGGCTCCCTCTCCCGCCGCCCGCTCCATTAGTTTCCTGAAGCAACTCCTATTGATTATTATTTGGTGGTAATAATCTGCTCCTGTACATATTTCTGTAACATTATTCGCATTCTGTTTCTGAATTTGCTGTTTATTTTTATGCTATGAAGAATTACTGCATTTTCCTCTTTGAATGATTTTCTTTTGTCGAAATTCCATATTCAGAGTGGTGCTGGAGGGAAGGGAAGTATATTTATTGGATGGCTCTTCGATTTGAGGTAATCTTTTGACAATTCTCAGCACACTATGTTGGTTAATTTAATGCCGAATTTAACTTGCATCTCATGAATGAGCTTATATTATCATAGTTGTTTTGATGCTTATTTCAATTAAATATATTTAAGAGAATTTTGGAACGAGAGATGTGCTCCGCGCATGCTTAGCCCACGTTTGACATCTTTTAATTTAATTTATTTCACGCAATGACTTTCAACCACATCTTCATGTTAGTTGGATGCCCTTCTTTTGAGTAGTATTTTGTAAAACGACATTGTGAATTGACGTTGGATTATTCGCATTTTACAATTTGAAACGTTTATCTAAGATTCCATAATCTTATAGAATATCACAAATTATATACTCGACAATTCGTGATGTGATCAAAAGTATATCGTTCACAATCATTACATAAAGTTGGACGCTTTATATTGATAAGATTGCATTTTTCTTATTAAGATTTGTATAGAATTTGGAACAAAAACAATAACGTGTTTTGATTTACATTGAACGGAACCGCGTAGATGAAAGATCATATACTCACAATAGTGAAATTCATTAATCATTGAGATGAGAGGATCGTTACTCTAAGGTATCTTCTATAGGCAAATTGAACTTGAGCTCAATAGTCTGATGATGAGATTGTTGGACTTTATATTGTGATTTGATCTCAATGAATTCGTCTTATGAAAATGGAATTTACAGGGTAATACATGTTGGACGCTTTATATTGATAAGATTGCATTATTCTTATTAAGATTTGTTTAGATTTCGGAATAAGAACAATAATGTTTTTTGATGTACATTGAACGGAACCACGTAGATGAAAGATCATATACTAACAATAGCGGAATCCATTAATTATTGAGATGAGACGATCTTTACTCTAAGGTATTTTCTATAGGCAAATTGAACTTGACCTCAATAGTCCGACGATGAGATCGTAGGACTTTATATTGTGATTTGATCACAATGAGTTCACCTTATGAAAATTGAATTTAGAGGGTAAATACATGTTGAAGGGCAAAACGGTCGTTATGCCAATTTCAACATATTGACGGTCAAATGGGGTTGACTTGTGGAACGATAATCAGAGGATATTGTTATTGAATCATAATTTGCTTTTATAACTATCACACGATTTGAGATTACAATCTCGATTTTTTGGTAGAATGAGTCGGGATTAATAGATGTATTTCATTTGGTCAAGAGTTGACTCAATTAGAAACATCTATTAGAACTTGAGTCATGTGAGTCCAGTTAAGCCCCTCTTTTGGTTCCAATAAAGGTGTGTGACTTAATTGGTCTACTACAATAAAGCCCAAGGAAATTCGTGCAATTTACAAACCCTAATTGAGTATTATAAATATGCCCTTTATGGACACATTTTCATATGCTTTTAGGGTTGGCCAAATTTCATTTCCCAATAAGGGGGAGGCACCTAAAGGAGAACAAGTGAGAAGATTTAAGGGAGGAAGCATTTGGTTAGACCATTAAAAGCTCCTTCAAGGTTATTCCCTTTAGGTGTGAGAATTTAAAATATCCAATGATGTCAAGCTGATCTAACATCCTTATTCAAATGGGTTTAATCTTTGAAGGAAAATTAATTTCCTATTGTGACGATTAAATTCAATAACCAACAATTCACACAATAAAATATTCTACACGTAAACAAAAAACTTCCAAAAAAATACTATTCAAAACAATATTTTTTGAGGTTTTTGGATATCTTATATTCAAAACGATATTTTTTAAATTTTAAGGATGTCCAACATGGGCTTAGTTTGGTTTATCAACAGAGAGTTATTACCATTTTAATTATTTTGGGCCTTGTTTTGGATGGTAATTCAAATCTAATTTTGCCTTTTGTCTATGGTCATAAAGTGGACAATATCAATTTATTCAATGATCTCAGTTTTTTCTTTTAACTTACCTCGATTTAATAAATTTATAAATCATTTACAAAGAGGAATAATAGTGTGTTTCACGAATTGTGTGGTAGTAAATGATTAGTAGTTTTGAATATGTGATTAACTTTTTTGTGTTGTTAAAATTATTGTTTAATTTTGACTAAATATATAAGCCATTTATGAATTGGTTTCCAAATGGAGGCTCTCTTTACATGCAATTAGTATATAGTAAGATTACTTCAACTGTTTCCTTTTTTACTCATATTTGATACCACATAAGCTTTAATTTTGTGCTTTCTATGTTAGATTCTTGGAAGATTTAATCGTGCTCGTGCAGCTCAACTGACACTTCCTCACTTTGTGTGCCAAACACCTCTATTCATGCCCGTCGGTACACAAGGTTAGAACTTCTATTATTCACATATTGCTTAGCAATGCATATATCTTCTCTACCACTTAATCTTTTACGTCATCATCACTAGACGAAAAAATAGGCACCTTTAATTGGTTATTATATATATATATATATATATATATATATATATATATTATTTTTATTTTATCATTTTTGTAGAAGACTTGGGATGATTTTTGTTGTTGTTTGGGTAAAAAAAGGTCAAGGAAAATACATTGGTTTGGAATATTACAAAAATAAGTTATATAGAGGGAGTGGATATTGAACTCTACCAAGAGAAGATTCCTAGACAGTTTTTAACTTTGCAAATTTTTCTTCGAAGTGTGAGGTTGCGACAGTTCATTTGATTAATGAAAATATTTGAAAGAAAAATAAATACAAAAAAAAAAAAAGACAGAAAAAGCAAGATTAACAAACTGTTTGGAATGGTCAAGTCCAACTACACCTATATCTACTACCATAGGTCACCTTTGGATTTACATAACTGCAATACTATTAACTTTCAACACCAATGCCCCTTTTGCACTAGTGGATCAGGACAACCAATTTATAGCAAAAAAAAAATACATTTTTTAAACAAAACTTGGTCATAAAACAACTATATTTACGCATCAGACATAGCTGCTAGGGCTTACACTAACTAAAATGCCTCTAACATATGCTATGTAACAATGAAAAGTGAAGACACAGGGGTTTATTATCTCTCAAAGTGAATATAAGAGTAAGGTTTGAGTTGCAGGTCTTAGAAGATTTTTGAAGAAAGCTCATTTATTCAAATTAAGAAAGCTATTTATATGAAGACTTGAAAGATTAAACTTCAAACATGAAATATCATTTTATAGAAAAATAATGTAGTTGAAATCAGAGATGATTACTTTGTATTTCGTAGTGGTAATACAACTCTAATGCAACCTATTTATAGTACATACTATGAATAAGAGAAGGAAAGAATCAATTAACTACGAAAGGAAAAAAAATCATCCTAAAACTTAATCTCTAATTAACAATAAATTACAACTTTCCATTCTTAGTATTTCTTCTCATTCTCGATTTTCTACACTCCCCTTGAAGTTAGCTACTGATGTTGATCATGTTCAACTTGCTACTAAAGCTGTGTAAAATGTCGAGACAATTCTTTGGTGAAGATATCTGTAGTTTGTTCTTTTGTAGCATCATATTTCATACAAATAATCCCATCCTCCACATTCTCTTCGATAAAATGTTTGTTCACTTTGACTTTTAGTTCCTCCAAGAGATTCTTTATCTATAGCCCTTCACATATACCTTTCGCAACAACTTTAAATTTAGCTTCAACACTGTTTCTTGCCACTACATTTTGCTTCTTGCTCCTCCAAGTTATCAATTTTTCCTGTACAAATGTACAGTAGCCGGTGGTAGATCTTCTGTCTTGAATTGATCCAGCACAATCTGCATCTGTGAATATCCCTACTTCTTTCCTTATATTTTTCCAAAGAACAGTCTTTTCCTAGAGGTGCCTTTTAGATATCCAATGATTTTGTACACAGCTTCCAGGTGAAACTCTTTAGGATACGTTGACTTGCCACGTTGACTGCGAAAGCGATGTCTGGCCTAGTATGTGATCGATAGATCAACTTACCAGCAAGCTTTTGTTATCTATCTATTTTCACCGGTTTTGGTGTTCGTTGTTATTTTTCTTGCTTCAATAGGCGTGTTGCTTGGTTTGCACCCCTGCATGTCGATTTCAGTCAAAAGGTCAAGAATGTATTTTCGTTGCGAAACACTAATTCCCTTCTTTGATTTTGCAACCTCCATCTCTAAGAAGTACCACATTTGTTCCAAATTCTTTACTTCAAATTCGATTGCTACACATTTCTTTAGTCTTTCCATCTCAGTTGTGTTGTCCCGAGTTAAGATCATATCATCAACATATACAATCAGAATTATCTTTGCCCCATCTTTGGATTGTTGAAAAAACATGATATGATTTGACTATCTTTGCTGGTATCATTGACTTTTCAATACCTTTGCAAATCTATCAAATCATTCTCTTGGAGACTGCTTGATACCATAGGGAGACTTCTTGAGTTTGCACATTTGATTTTCTTCATTCCTTTTGTTGAAGATTGGTGGTATGGTCATGAAGACTTCTTCTAACTCTCCATTCAAGAATGCATTCTTAGTAAATAGCTTTGCCGCCGGTGCAAGTGTTTCTATGTGGTCGATGCCATAAGTTTGTATATATTCTTTGGGAACCAGACGAGCTTTGTGCGTTCTTTTGTGACATGATATCAGCCCTGTACTTCATATTAAAGCCCTATTTGCACCTTACAAGATTTGCCTCTGCTTCAACATGAGAACTTTCAAAGGTTTTTGTTTCCTTGTTGGCAGTGAATTCTGCCATTGATTTGCTAGGTTAGAGGAATCTAGGCTTTGATATCATATAGTTGAAATCAAAGATGACTACTTTGTACTTCGTAGCTGTAATACAACCATAATGCAACCTATTTATAGTACATAATATGAATAAGAAAAGGAAAGAATCAATCAGCTACGAAAGGAAAAAAAAATCATCCTAAAAGTCAACTCTAATTAATAGTAAATTACAAATTTCCATTCTTAGTCTTTCTTTCCATTCTCTGTTTTCTACAAATAAATTTGGTGGTGGATTGTTAGCAGAAAACTGGCTTAAATTGGGCTCTTATAATGGACGGAAATCTGTGACATGGTGAAGATTAATGATTTAATAAACTGTCCTTATATTGATCATTAAAATCCATAATAGAAATGGTTAGGTGAAAAAAAAAGTGTCACTTCATATGTGAGTTTTAACAAAACGACCAGGTTTCAAAGAAATGCGTTTTTCGAGATTGTAACTGATTCTTGATATCTGGAATTGAGTTTCAGACTTGTGAACTAGTTTTACTTTAAAGTCTTTATGCAGACTTTTGAACCTTAAATACGTAGCTACAGGTACGAGTTTCTTACTTCCAAATTATGATGCAACTTCTGAAATGTACTCTCAAAGTAACAATTTAAGATGAAATGGCGTGGAAAAGTAAGGAAGAGAAATCGATGGTGAAATGACTAACCTACGTTATCCATCATAAATACGATTTCAGTTTTCAACCTCTGTTGATACATCTTCATCTTATTCTTCAACAGTCTACGAGTCAGTTCTCCAACTTCTTGCACCATGTTTCTGACGTATCTATATTTGGACCTGTGAAAATTATAGCACTTAACACATTGTTAAGACTAATTACATCTGAACTCTAATTTAGACATCTCGTTGGTTCCTTCGGCACTTCAGTTCATTTCATGAGTTTGGAGTCTGGTCTTGATTATCAATGTTTGTCCACATTTGAATTTCCTTTTACCTAATCAGAATATTTGATTGAAGTGCTATGATACATGCTATAAAGTCTGGACATCTTATTGTGATTGTAGACATTTGGGTCTGATTCTTACTACATTGACTTTTTAGACATTTGGACTTACTTATAACTTCAGTCTGGATGCTTGGTTGCATCATTTTAATGTATGAAATTTGGTCGTCAATCATCTACTTGAGGTTTTGAGTGATTTGATGTGTCACAAGTAAGATCTTGTCCAATTGATGGAAAGTATATGCCTTTGATTGGTAATTTTAGGATTTTTTTTTTCCATGGAATAGCTGATCAGCTATACCATGTTTTTTGTATAATAAGAGGTCAATGAAGCACTTACTATTTCTTTGCACCGATTTTGGACTGGTCCGCCTCCCTTTATTAGCCACACGTTTTAAGGTAATTGAATAACTTGTAACTCTAACCAATTTCATGGTGGTTTTAATACACCTGGGGTGGTATTATTGAATAAGATAGTTTGTTGAACATAAACCAGGTCAATGGTGGATCATGCCATATATTGGTCCACAATAACCAACAATATGTTGCATTCACAAATCAGATCATGCAGCATTTGGATTCATTGACATTATAAGTTGGATTTTCATGGTTCAGGGACTATAAAAGGTTTAACAAATAACCAGCTAGAGGACATTGGTTGCCAAATTATTCTTGGAAACACTTATCATTTGGCTCTCCGTCCTACTTCTGAGCTCATTGATGAGATGGGAGGTCTCCACAAATTTATGAACTGGCCAAGGGCGCTGCTTACTGACTCCGGTGGTTTTCAAATGGTTTGTCAATCATTATTTACTGTCTTGAATTTAAATAATCACTGTAATGGTTGTTTTACTGTTATTCTTCATCCGTCTCAGTTCCCATTCCCACTCAAAAGATTAAAATAAAATTCTCACTTTTCTATAGAACTGCAGTGTCCTCTTACTATTGATTTCTGAAATAAACTGTCTAATCTTTTATTATTATATCTTTGGCCAGTCACCTTTTTGGTTTGCTTTATGATATATACGACATTAAATGCATCATGGGTAACCATTTGTTGTCTCCATCAATTCTGTTTGTTTTGTGAAATTGAGTATTGTTGCATCATACCAAAACTGTCAGGACCATTTTATTTGTTTGTGTCTTCTTATGGCATCCCCACAAATGATGAAAGTGAATTTTAAGGAAATTTCAGGTGGTATTTGTTTTTTTTAATCACCAGAAGATGAAGGAAGCAAATACTACAATGAGTTAGCAATGACAGACACATTAAATTGTGACATTAATATGTAAGTAGTGGTAACTTGCTCATCAATAGGGGGAGATGATGGGGTTGTTGTCGATAAGAATATAATTAAAATAGTCTCTATTTTTTTCTCTGTGCCTTGCACTTGATTGAGCAAGCATTGGTATATAGATATTGATTTCCATAAGAGATTTATTAAAGAGAAATTGACTTATATTATTTTTCACTTAAATTGTACAATGAAGAGAGTCCATATATATATATTACAAAGAAAGCTGAAAAAGGAATAAAGATCTAATCCCCTATATTTAGTAAGATATCAAAAAATATATGATATACAACACTAATTACGGTAAGAAGGATCTCCTCCAATTTTCTTCAATCAATCCATCTCCTTCTTGCAGTAATTTCGGGATTTTAACACTCCCCTTCAAGTTGGATCGTAAATGTTGATTATATCCAACTTGCATATGAAATCATCGAATTTTTGTCGAGGTAGTCCTTTGTAAATATATCTGCAGTTTGTTCTTACGTAGGAACATATGTCATGCAAATAGTTCCTTCCTCAACCTTTTCCTTTATGAAGTGTGTGTCTACTTCTATGTGTTTGGTGCGATCATGCTGAACTGGATTTAAGGAAATATTGACCGCTGCTTTATTATCACAATAAAGTTTGATTGGGAACTTTATTATAATCCGCAATTCTTCTAGAAGTTTTCTTAACCACAGTCCTTCGCATATTCTTTGTGCAATAGCTTTAAACTCAGCTTCAGCACTGCTTCTTGCTACTACACTTTGTTTCTTGCTTCTCCAAGTTACAAGGTTTCCCCATACATAGGTACAATACCCAGTAGTTGATCTCCTGTCTTCTACTGAACCTGCCCAATTTGCATCTGTGAAGACTTCAACTTCCTTTCTTTCACTCTTCTTGAAAAATAGTCCTTTTTCCTGAGGGCCCTTGAGATATCTGAGGATCTTATAGACTGCTTCCAAATGACTTTCCTTTGGTGAATGCATGTGTTGACTCATGTGACTTACTGCGAATGCAATGTCAGGTCTAGTATGTGACAAATATATTAGTTTTCCTACTAATCTTTGATACCTCTTTATTTCCACTGATCCCCAACATCTTCAGATTTCTTTCCCGCTTTCATGGGTGTGTCACTTGGCTGCATCCTAACATGCCAGTTTCGGCTAGAAGATCAAGAATATATTTTCTCTGTGAGACACTAATGCCCTTTCTCGATCTTGCAATCTCCATTCCCAAGAAGTACCGCATTGTTCCCAGATCTTTCACTTCAAATTCAGTGGCAAGCCTCTTTTTTAGTCTTTCCATTTCCACTACATTGTCTCCTGTTAAAATTATATCATCAACATATACTATTAAGATTGTCTTAGTCCCGTCTTCAAATTGTTGAAGAAATATAGTGTGATCTGACTGTCCCTATCGATATCCTTGACTTTTCAACACCTTTGCAAATCTATCAAACTATGACCTTGGTGAATGCTTGAGTCATCCGATTTTTCTCATTCATTTTACAAAAATCCAGTGGTAATGTCATGAAAACTTCTTCTTCCAGTTCTCCATTTAAAAATGCATTTTTAATGTCTAGTTGTTGAAGTGGCCAATTCAAATTTGCAGCTACTGATAGAAGAACTCGAATTTTATTCAATTTTGCTACTGGTGCAAATGTTTCCGTGTAGTCGATGCCATATGTTTGTGTGTATCCTTTTGCAACCAACCGAGTTTTATATCGTTCAATAGTCCCATCAGCTCTGTATCTCACATTAAAAACCCATTTGCTCCCAACTAGTCTCTTCCCTTTTGGTAGGTCCAATACTTCCCAAGTTTCATTTTTCTCCAACGCTCTCATTTCCGCCAATACTGCATCTCTCCATTCAGGAATCTCCAAGGCTTCTTGGATATTTTTTGGGATTTCTGTACTGTCCAGATGAGATGTGAAAGCACGAAACTCAGTAGATAAGGTATTATAAGACATGAATTTTGAAATAGGGTGGAGAGTACATGACCGAGTTTGCTTTCTAAGAGCAATGGGTAAATCTGAAGTTTCTGATGCTTCATGAGGTTGTGGAGCTATCATCGGGTCTGACTCTTTTGGTGCTTCGGATGTGAGAGTCTCCTTGTACTTTGATTTTGGCTTTCGTGAATAGACTAGTATCTCTTTATCATTTTGTTTTTCTACATCTCTCCCTGAGTTTAAGTTTCCTTCTGTAAATGGCATATTCAATGGTGAAATAGGTTTTATGGGTGGTGTAGGTTCAGGAGGAGAAAGATTGAAATCTAAGAACCGATCTTCATATAAGTTCTCCCCTGAAGAGAGGTTTTTTCAAAATATGGTTTAGTTTCGAAGAAGGTAACATCCAGGTTGACAAAGAGTCTTTTTGTAGAGGGATCATAACATTTGTAACCCTTTTGAGTAGGGGAATACCCAATCAATACACATTTAATAGCTCGAGGATCAAGTTTACCTCTGTGATGGGAGTGGATATGGACAAAAGCGGTACATCCAAATACTCTTAGTGATAGATTAGAGTTGAGACGAGAGGTTGGAAATAACTTTTGAAATTTCTGGAGGGGTGATTCGAAGTTAAAGAGTACGACTCGGCATTCTGTTGATTACGTAGGTGGATGTCAGGATAGCATCTCCTCTGTGAACATTTTGGGCATATTAGTGGTAAACATCAAAGCACGAGCAACCTCTAAGAGGTGTCTATTTTTTCGTTCGGCGATCTCATTTTGTTGGGGAGTGTCAATGCATGAGCTTTGATGGATTATTCCATGTGTTTGAAGGAAATCTCCCAAGATGTTATTGAAGTATTCTGTACCGTTATCAGTTCGCAAAATTTGGATTTGTGTTTGAAATTGTGTTTGAACCAGGGAACGGAAATTGAGAAATACAGAGCAAACATTTGATTTCTCCTTTAGGAGGTAGACCCAACAAATTCGACTGTGATCATCAATGAATGTAATAACCACTTTGCATGATTACGGTTAGGGATTTGTGAAGGGCCCCACAAGTCACTATGGATTATAGTGAAAGGTTTAGATGGTTTATATGTAGACTTTGGAAATGATGCACGTTGATGTTTTGCAAATTCACATTTTCACATTGCAAATCAATAGGCTTTTTATTCAGAAAAATAGAGGGAAATACACGTTTCAAGTACTGAAAGTTTGGATGACCCATTCTAAAATGCCATAATATAATATCACTATCTCTAAAGACAGATGTAGAATCACAAAATGTAACTTGACGTTGTTTACTCACATCAGCCTTTTCAAAGTAATAGAGTCCTTCTCTTTCCTTAGCATTGCCAATCGTCTTCCCCGATAATAGGTCCTGAAAAACACAATGAGGTGGTAGAAATTTAGCAGAGCAATTTGAATTTTTGGTCAATTGACTTATGGACAGTAGATTGCATGATAAATTTGGAACCTGGAGGACATATTTTAAAGTTATAGAATCAGAGATTTTTATATTCCCTTTTCCTGCGACTGAAGAGAGTGAGCCATCCGCAATTTTAACTTTAAGATTACCGGCACAAGTGGAATATGTGGAGAATAGATGGTAGGAGTTTGTCATGTGATCAGATGCTCCCGAGTCAATAATCCATGGAGTTTTAGATTGAGTTATAGACTTCAATGCTCTTAAGAAGTTACCTCTGTGATCTAGCGAGCTCGTCGGGTTGTTTGTAGAGGATTGACTCGATGATTGAAAGCTTGAAAACAATTTGTAGAGTTACTCCATTTGTTCAGAATTAAACGCACTACTAGACTTGGATTTTTCCGTTTGATAATCAACTGATGCCTGGTATCCATGATTTTTATTATTTTGCCTCGGTTTCCAATCGCTCGGTTTTCCATCTATATCCTAACATGTGTCTTCTCCGTGCCCTGGTTTTCGACAATGCTCACACTAGAGCCGACCCCTTTGCTGTTTTGGACCCGATCTACTTGCTGGCCCTTTAGAATATAGGCCAATCATTCCCGGCCCAATGCTGGATTTATTTTGCCCATGATTAAAACCAGCTCCACCGTGCAAATTAGTAGGCCCAGTCATTCTAGGCCCGTTACCAAACTCATTTGGCCCATGATTGAAAGTTGCTCCTCTACCTGACTTAGTAGGCCCGTTATTAGAAGACCCAATTCCTTTAGACATCAATCCAGAGACTTCAACATTTGGAGCCCCAAACACACTGGTTTCACTCAACATTATCTTGCGTTGGATTTCTTCTCGTCGTACCTCTGCGAAAACTTCTCGCGGCGAGGGAAGGGGTTGCCGGCCAAGAATTCGCCCCCGAACGTCGTCTAAGTCGTGGTGGAGTCCTGCCAAGAATTCATACATGCGTTCGTTTTCCAGTTTCTTCTTGTACCGAACATTGTCTTCAGCACACGTCCATTCTTCTTTAGAACTTTGGTCGAGTTCTTGCCACAACCCATTCATCTCAAGGTAGTAGTCAGTGACTTCTCGTTCTCATTGCTTCATTTGACACAATTTTGATTTGATTTCGAAAATTTTGGAAGAATTCTCGGAATCTGAGTACATCTCTTTTACGGCCTCCTAAACCTCTTTTGCGGTTGGAAGGAAGAAGTATGTCTTGCCGATGACAGGTTGCATAGAGTTCACGAGCCAGGCAGACACCGTCAAGTTCTCTGACTTCCATTTTTGAAGAAGAGCGAGGCTGGTTGCGGCTGGCATCTTAGTTTCGCTTGTCAGGTACCCCAATTTCCATCCACAATAAGTTTAATCGATGGGGCCCACTCACGAAAATTCTTCCCGTTCAATTTTTCTACTGTAAATTGGAAGGATGAGTTTTCAATTCCTCCTATAGACGTTGCTTCAGATTCACTGTTGTATGACTCAGAGGTCATTGAGCCTCTGTTATTCTTGGTTGCTTCAGCCATACTCTGACTAGGCTAGAAGATACTGTGGCTCTGATACCATGAAGAGAAATTGACTTATATTATTTCTCACTTAAATTGTACAATGAAGAGAGTTCATAAATATATTACAAAGAAAGCTGAAAAAGGAATAAAAATCTAATCCCCTATATTTAGTAAGAAATCAAAAAATATATAATATACAACACTAATTACGGTAAGAAGGATCTCCTCCAATTTTCTTCAATAAATCCATCTCCTTCTTGCAGTAATTTCGGGATTTTAACATTTATCAATATCTCTTGATTCCTTTTTGAAATGATGGAAGACACTCATATTTGTTGATCTTTGTTCATTTCTCACGAACAAACTGCAAGCTGTTTAAAACTGGTCCAATATTCAAAATATTGGGATTAAAAAGCTGTCTTTCCTCAGTAATTCGCTATAAAAGTGAATGAATTCATCCGCTACCTAATTTTGAGAAGAGGTATAAGTACCATTTCTCCCAAGGACAGATGCAATGTAATTCCTTTTAGTATTTCTCTTTACTATCAAGTCGAAGAACTTAGTGCACTTGCTGCTATACTTAAGTATTCACATATGGCTTGTTGGTAGTAAAAGCTCCTCTCCGCTTCGTGTAAACCCATGGCAACTTTCCTCAACCGAGCAACCTCACTTTGTAATTGAAGATTGATTGGATCATCATGCAATTCCAGCCGAACCAATTCCAAGGACTTAGTAGCAAATTCAGCCCTAGTAGAAATATGCCCATAATGCTTATCATTTAACTCTGTAAGCACCCCTTTGAGACTTTTAAACTTTTTACAAAGTGAAAATTGCTTTGTTCCAAGTACCTCTTGATTCCAACAATTAAGTACAAGATCCCGAAAATCTTCATGGCTGGTCCACATATTGAAGACTTTAAATGGTTTCCTTTTACTCTCAACATGTTCGAAGAGTGAAACAATACAAGGGGAGTGGTTGGAAAGGCAACCAGAGGGAAGAAATTCAGCGAGGCTAATAAATCCCATGTGCAACCAAATATCATTTACTGGGCCCTATCAAGTTTACCATAAACCAAGTTATTAGTCTAAGTGTAAAAGCATCCAATAGATCTCATATCCGTAAGTCCAACATTTAGGGACAATTTTCAAAATCTTTCACCTCATACAGGGACCAAGGTAACATCTGCTCCATTACTTTTTTCATCAAACCTAAGTACATTGTTGAAATCGCCCATGATCAACCAAGGCGTAGAACAATTCAATACAAACTCCATGACGTTATTCCACAATGGTCTCCGATTCACAATAGTATGAAAAGCATAGACAAAGCTAACAAGAAATGTAAGTGAAGTTACCTTACAAGTGATGGTACAATGGATGATTTGTGGTGTAGTCTCCACCACTTCAAAGTTGACTTTCATGGAATTCTACAAATCCAAAATTCGGCCAGCTTTGGGAGTGGCAAAGTTGTTGATTTGCTTCAAATCACCAAATTTATTCCGCATAATCCAGTCCAACTTCGGCTTCCCCAATTTAGTTTCCAAAATACCCAGTGCATCCATATCGTGTTGCTTCATAAAGTTACAACCCCGTTTTGTTCTAGGGACAGGTTCAAGCCCCTAATGTTCCAAGTTCCTACCTTCATGATGATGAAGGTAGGGAGATTCACTTCTTCTTATATTTGACGTTAACACTTTTCTTTTTCTCGTTGAGCTTCCCCCTTAAGCTTCTCATTGCTAGATGCCTTAGAAGTCATGCCTAGTATGTTTGTGGACCCATCTGCCACTGACTTTGCCCTGCAATTGCTGTTGTTACCCACTGTATGGTAAGGAGTTCGTCTCCCATTTTTCTACCCATTGCTCAAGTTCTTCTTGCCAATAAACTCAATGAATAGTTCATCAATCTGTTCTTCCAACTGTTGTTCCTGTGAGACTGTTGTGGATTATTTTGGCCACAACTGCCTGAGACTTCCCCTCCACAGCATTCTGACTTTGTTTTCCAGCCTGAGTTAGCATACCATTAGCCTCCACATTCTGATTTTGTTTTCCAGCCAGCTTCTTAGAGTTGCATACAGCTGTCATGTGCCCAAACATCTTACAAGTTGCACAAAACTTCAGTTTGTGCTCATATACAACAGATTGTACTCTCAATTTACCTGTAGGCAAGATCATTTCAACAGTGCGTATCAGCTCCTTAGATGCATCAATTTCCACAAGGACCTGAGTGTAAGACAATCTCCCTTTGGTTTGAGTGAGCTTTTCCATTGAAATTGGTTTACTGATCTTCAAAACAATCTTTCCCAAAACTTTTGGATTCCAACAACCCAAAGGTAGGTAATTTTACCCGAGTAGCAGCTGAAGAAGAAGATGTGGAGAAGAAGCCTCGATATTCTTACCTGGTCCAAGAGACAAAGCAGCAGACTTTTCCATTCATGGCCTGGACAGCCCTGGTAGTCATGTCAGGAACCTGTTCCTTCCCGGGTATTATCCTGTCAATCTCACTTGGAGTAGATGAAGAATGATGACCGGATTTTTTCTTGCCCATACTTAGAAGAAGAGAATAGTGGGGAGAAGGTGAAAAACTCAGCCAGAAACGGCCGTGTGAGCTGGAATGAGGTGTAGAGTTTTTAAGTATAGTTCAGCCTATAGATACAAGGCTGGACAGATAGTGCACACATTGGGAAATAATTTAAAATATGGCTAAGCAAAGTTCAAAATATTTTTTGTAAACAAAATAGGGAAGCTACCCCTGCCAAAGCTGGAAAAATATCTGGAAAAGGCTAGGGAGAGTAAGTGAAATTTGAAAATTCAGACAAAAGGAGGGGGAATCAAGATTTGAATACTCTACCCAAAAAGGCAAAGAACACTATGTAGATGAATATGAATCTCCATAGACTAGCTATAGGCATCCTGCCAGTTTACTCCACCATGAACTCAACCTCAAAGCTTCAAGAAAAAACACAAGTCTTACACCAAAAACCACAAGGAAACTGGGCGACACAAAGCAAGAGGAGAGTAGTGAGGAATGAAATCACCTGAACACTGCTCCACAAAACTACCAAAGCTGATTGACTGGACTCAAAAACCAGCAAACCAGGCTGTCAGCCTGTCACTGAATCTGGCCGAACAGAGCAAGAAATTGAAAATACCGACTTCAATTTTCACTAAGAGAACAAAGTGAAAATCGAAAAAAGATGCTAGCAAACAACCAAGTAATCGAGAAATCTCAAGAATGCAAGAGGCACTAAAGTGAGTTTTCTCTCACTAGAGTTGAGAGCTTCTTTCTCTACTTGATTATATTTGTCATGGGGGCCTGTTAGTAAGTATCATGATTTCTGAGTGAAAGGAACTTAAGCTGCTCGTGTGTGGTATTAGGTTGTTCTCCCCTTATGGTATATATGTTATTCTTCAATGAAGTCCTAGAAGTTTACAACGACAAGAATACTTTTATTACCTATATTCATTTCATTCATTGTTTATTTCCTCTTGCACATTTTCCTTTGTTGAAGAGTTTTTATTATGATTTTCTTCTGCCTTTTCTGAGCGTTTAACCTGCTTTTCGTCCGTATAGATCGTTTTCCAAAAGCTTTAAAATTTATTTTAAATGGACTGTAGAGTGATTATATGACAACTAGGTTGCCAACTTCTCTAATGCTGTTAGGTCTCCTTATTGCATTTGGCAGACATCACAGAAAAGGGAGTCACGTTTCAGGTAATTATTTTCGTTTCAGTGTGCTGTTCTTTTATATCAATACACCTATTATATTCAAAGTTTTCCACTTCCAAGTCATGATGGTTTAGTGATGGAAATCATGTCAGTGTAGTGCTTAAATACTGTAAAACTAATTTGTTTCACATTTAATCTCTACACAAAGTAAGTTTCTTTATTTTGCATTTTTGCATATAGCAATATGTGGGAAACAACAATGTGCAGCGTCACCTCTCCGTTTGAGCTTATGCGTTCTTATAAGCATAATTTCATCAGAATGGTATTTGGAGAAGGGAAAATGGAAATCCTACACACCACTTTCATGTATCCCCTCTGCCCATGGCACCGGAGAGAGAGAGAGAGAGAGAGAGAGAGGATGAAAAGACATTGTTATCTTTGTTTGACCCATTTTCCTTTAATTAATTTGACTCAAGTGCAGAATATTTACGCTGCTTGTAATTAGTACATCATTTGCATTTTTTGTTTTTTTCCCTTTTGCAGTCACCGGTTGATGGGAAGCCAATGCTACTTACACCTGAAGAATCAATACAAATACAAGTAGGAATTCTTTCAATATATGCATCTCATCCTGTAAATTATTTTGTGTAGGAAGTATGTGTTTGCCTGTTTCAATTTTACTTTATCTTGTATTCAATTCACAGCTGAAAAATGATCCAGCTATTATATTGTTTAGAATTACTTTTCTGTTATCCTCTGCTGTCAGTCTTCATTTAATTTTCTTTTATTTCCTTGAATGTAATAATTGATTGAATCACCTCATTTATTTGTATTATACACATTCCCTCAACTACTGGATATGCTACCCAAAAGTTATGCAGTTGGCTGATCATTATACCTTAGTTATAAACAACTTTACACCCCTGCAAATTGTTAAATTAACTAGGATTCAAGGCAGTCTTGGGTTGATTTGAATTTGTTGGATCACAAGGGTTATTCTATATTTTATGCAAAGGTCTTTGACTTTCAGCAATTTCTGAGCTTGTATTATCTCATCTGGATCTGAATGTTCCAGATTAAAGAGAGAGTCAAGAAATTTAGATCATTGAATTGAATTATTTTCATTTTTCAATTGATAATACTTTTTGAAGGAATAGAAGGAACAGTCTGTTTAAGCAAGCCATTGCTATCATTTTGGCTGTGGAAGTGTTTTAGATCTGTCTCTCCACCTCTAGTTATTTTATTAGTTTCATTTCTAGTCCATTTCAAATGAGTGAATTGCTATGTAATATTTTCATCTAATCTATGCTATAATATCAACCTACGCAACAAAACGTTTACATGCACAATCACTTAAAGAGTTAGAAAATTGCTTCAGACAAAGGGTAATATCCAGGCGATGAAACTGACTTGATTATGTGGTATGTAATAGTTGCTTTCTTAAGCTTATGACTGATAGAAACAATACCCAAAATGTATGTTTTTCTCTGTTTCTGTGTTTATACAAGAGATCTCACATCCTACCCTACCACTTGGACTAGTACTCGATAAAAGTAGGATTTGCTTGTTTATATACCATTCTTACACCTCTCTCTCTGTTTCCCATGTGCAGCTTTCCGATAGAAAGATTCCATGTATTGTGCATTATTTTGATGCATAGTTTGAAGTTTATAACTTAAACAATCTTATGTCTTTAATTCTGGTGGAAATAGTTGTGCTATTTGGCTAGAAAAATATGATTTGTTCCACTCTTGCATTATTGTGCTAAATAAAACATGGAAGACAAATTTTCAACTTCTGTAAATTGGACTTCTCTTTTAGAAAAAAAGTAGGATTTGATTTGTTTATGCACCACCATCTCATCTCTGTATTTATTTATTTATTTTTTTATATTGTGCTGGCAATGAATTGGATAGTATTGTTGTACTACTATAACTTGAAAAGAGTCTTATTTTTTTACTCCTGGTAACCTTAACTATGTTATTTAGCTAGAACTATAACTACGTAGGAGTGTATATTTGACAATGAACAATTAAAGATTAAGAAATGAAAAGGGTGCAAAGAAGAAAAGTATTGAGGGCAAGAGGAAATCTGTTTTATTAATATAAAAAAGGGGTTGTGAATTACAATGAATAATCCCTTTATAAATAGAACAAGAAACTCGAGAAACTAAAATTAAAGACACTTCTAATAAACTAGAATCTTATGGAAATATCAAATCTAATTTAATCTAATCTAAACAATCATAATTATAATTAAACTCTATTTTAACCTTCTATCTAAAATATATCTCTATTTTGATCATTTCTCTCCGGCTGAGAGACTTGACTCTGAAGAGGTAGAATGGAACTTCATACTATAAAGAAGTCGATCTTTTGTCTTGACTAAATGCTTGTATTGAACCATGGACAACAACATATATCTGATATTATGTTAAGGGAGTGATCTTTCTTATGAACCAAATATCGGAATTGCTCAAATGATGACAATTAAAACTGCAAATTATCTCGAAGAATATGGGGGAGGATATCTTTTTCTAATCAAGTATTGATATGAAACTCTAAAAAGCAAATTATGTCGAAAAAGATGGTCTCATCAAGGAGGACAATCTCTTCTTCTAATCAAGTATCGACATGGAACTCAAAAAGCACAAATTTATGCTACTCATCCATAAAATTTTCAATTGATTGCACATAATGAGGCGCACAAGGAACTAGAGCTGTAGACTGATCTACAAAAAAAATATTGCAACATCAAAAGCTTGAATGGTCCCTGATAAGGAAACAATTTTGCTATATTGAAAATATAAATTTCATTCAAGTGTGATGGCCAATCAAATAGATTATCTTATATGAATGATCCATAAACTTTTTCTCAACGTTTTTAAGAAATCGAATGAAAGAGATACGTAATAAAGCATAATTATTATCAATAGAGTCTTCTAGCCTATATTGCACATCAAAAGTAAGTTCAAGAATTTTGTAATTAAAAATAATTTGTCCTTTTTAATTTTGGCATAAAATTTAGGAACATTGAAAAAAAAAAAGAATGGGCTAACACCATATGCCTGCAATTAGTAGACAACAACGTAATATCAATGCGAAAAGTATGCAATCGAACAATGACCTTGAAAAATAACGTGGTAACTCGAGGAGTATCGTGCAGTAGAGAGAACACTAAAATATAGTAGAGATGAGATCGAAGAGGTGGAATGTTTGACTTTAGCGGCAATGCTAAAAGTAATTTGTCAACTATGTCAATGTTAAGTGTATTGATTATAGGTGTGATTACGATATTGGACATTATACCCTATTTAGAATCGTCATCTTCTCACGTTAGCTGTAGTCTCAAGAATCCAAGTCTCTTTGCGTAAAAGTCGATGGATTTGTCAATGAGAGATGCAAATGATGAAATAATTAATGGAAAAGTATCATGTATAATCTCATTACTATGAGGAGTATCGAGTGCCATGATACAGAATATTTCACTATGGCAAGTAGCAGTGTAAGCAAAATTTGGTTATTTTAATAGCTCATCAGAGATCAATGCTTTGATAATATTAGAAAGAGATGTGAGTATGGACATATCAGGTGATTGGTCAACTCGTGAGAAAATTCTCAATTTGTTCAAGTAAATATGGGAGTTCATTAAAAGGCCAAAAATTCATTTTTTCCCCCAACAATTGGACTCCTAATTTTGATATTCACACCATAATTTTCTGTTTATTTATTTTTAAAAAAAAAAATAAAGTAACTAAAAATTTAAAGCAATTTTTTTTTCACTAACTGAAAAGAGGAAAAAACTATTGCTGCTGCTGAGACGATTCTTCTTGTATTTTGTATTGTTCTAAGGTTTTTTATATATGATAGATAATTATAGGTCTTGGATGAATGGTGGAAGGTGGCAATGTATGTATGGATTGGATAGAAACGTTTATTTAAATCTTAGGCCATAGGAGAACGAATCGGTCTGATACCAAATTGATGCACGAGCATATATTTGACAACGAACAATTGAAGATTAAGAAAAGAAAAGGGTGTAAAGAAAAGTATTGATGACAAAGGGAATTCTGTTTTATTCTATAATAAATGATTGTGAATTACAGTGAATTAAATTATTTATTTATAGAGCAAGAAACTAAAGATAAACAAAAATTAAATGAACTTCTAATAAACTAGAATCTTATCGAAATATCTAATCTAATCTGAAGTCTAAACAATCATAATTGGAATTAAACTCTATTTTAAATTTTTATCTAAACAATATCTTTGTCTCCATCAATAACTCTTTTGACTCTTAGCACTTCTGCATGACTTTTTAATTACTTAATAGGTTTGAAGAGCGTGATTCTGTCATTATTTTGTGGATCAAGGCATAGAAATATGTTTCATTCCTTGGCATAAAACTGTCAACAATCTACTTAGTTTCCTGTCTCGCTATATATTTTTCTATTATCTCATTAGCATATCATTTCACAACTGTTGCAGAATAGAATTGGAGCCGATATCATTATGGCTCTTGATGATGTTGTGAGAACCACTATTACAGGTCCAAGAATTGAAGAAGCTATGTATCGCACTCTTCGCTGGATTGATAGGTGCATAGCAGGTAGATATGCATTAGCACTTTTCTAGCCTGCTTGAATTCATGTATACTTCAACTCTTCTGTATATAATTCATGTATGATTCGACTCTGATGCATATAATTCATGTACACCTCAACCCTTATGCAATATAACTCATTTATGCTTCAACTCTTGTCTTGTGCATATAATTCGTGCTAAATAATACTCTTATCAAGGGGGCTTCAATGTTTAGAAAGATTAGTGGATAGAGCGAAAGATTATTGTTTGTTGAGAGGTTTCAAATAGGAAGAGAGGAAAGTAGCTTCTATTCCTTGGTTACCTGGAATTTAGTTGTTAGGCGTTGAGAAAAGGAGGGTTGCCAGGTTGGGAATTGGTAATTTAATAGATAAAAATTGACTCTTATGGGAGAGTGATTTTGGACATTTTACATGGAACTGAACTCTCTTTGGGGTAGCTTAAGAAACAAATATGGTCTTCCAAAAAAATTAGAATTCTAATGTAGCATCCAGAAGCTCATTTAGAAATTCTTGTAATCTTACTTCTTAGGGAACTAATTCATTTCTTTGTATCAATAAATGGGCCATTGGAATCAGTGACAATTCATGCATGGTACTTTCTCAAGTTAGACTGTTGGTTTGTGATCATTGTCCAATTGAATCATATTGAGAGACCTAACTCCATAAGAGGTTAAATGTCATTACATGATGTCATTGATGCTTTGTTTCATCGTCATTTCATTTATGTTTATTCACTGTTTTTTTTTTCTGTCATTTCTCATGTTATTATATGACATTTATGACACTAATGTTCGTGGACAGCTCACAAGAAACCACATGAACAGAATTTGTTCGGCATTGTACAAGGTGGCTTAGATCCAGTTTTGAGGTTACTTAGAAATTAATCCATGAAAATTCTTATATTTCACTGCATATTTATGCCATATGGTTATTGTTCTTGCTTACTATTCTTTTTCATCATAATCTCTCTTGTTACAGGGATATATGCGTCAGAGGTTTAGTGGATCGTAATTTGCCCGGGTATTCTAAACCTCTTTCATCTTTTAGATGTTGTAAATGTTGGCCTTGTGCATTGTGTCCTCTCACTGAATTTGTAGAATACTTTTTGGAAACTGTAATGTTTAGATAAGGTTTGGTTGAACTTTGATTAAGGGATGGTCTGTTCCTGTGCCTATAATGCTTTTCTTCTATTTAATCATTGCTAGAAATGGTCTGTTGTTGCAGATCAAGTATATTCCCTCTCCCAAATGTGTAAAATAAAGTAATAAATTCGTGGCTTGCCATCCATAAGAAATAGGGTAAATGAAGAAATTAAAAGAAGAATGTTGCAGTTGTGATGAGAAGTTCGGAACCTGGCTTTAAGATATTATTGTTTATTTGGTTAGAACCAACCACCCCCCTCCCCCGGTGCTCATTTGTTTTTTGCCTGCTCAACGTTTTTTCAACTGATGTCAGATATGTAAAGGAATTAATCACTACATCAATTTACATAATCACTCCAAAAATACTGTGATTTACTGATCAATGGGCTGAAACGACTGAATTTGCTTTTGTGACAGCTATGCTATTGGTGGTCTTGCAGGCGGTGAAGATAAAGATTCATTTTGGCGAGTTGTTGCTCAGTGCACTGCTGCTTTGCCTGAGGATAAACCAAGATATGTTATGGTACTAGTCAATTTTGATTATACTTAAAACTTTTTAATATCTAACGTATCCTTTGCTATCGGCTTCAGTTTCTAAAGCATTTTGATGTCTGTCTTGCTCTCTCAAGGGTGTTGGCTATCCACTAGATGTTGTAGTTTGCAGTGCTTTAGGTGCTGACATGTACGACTGTGTCTACCCTACACGAACTGCTCGCTTCGGCACTGCTCTTGTACCTGAGGTAATGCCTTATTCTCTCCTTTACATCTTTATAAATTGATGTCATCTGATCTCTTAAGACACAAACTGTAAATATCCTCTGGATTACTGGAAGGAGTTGGTCTAATATCAAGACAAAATTGATCTATTCATTTGCATGTAAGCATGTTGCTATTCATTCATATGCTTGCATGGCTATGGTCATTCCAACCATTGATGGACGGTTACAATATAATTCTAGTGTTGCTTGACAACATACAAGAGAACAAGCATCTTGTGTCTCCAGAATTTGTTCATTGTAACTAATTAATTTCCACATCAAATAGTTGAACAATCTTCATGATTTCATTCATTACAATTATAACTGCTGTTAGATGAAGTTGTTGTGAGGTGGTTTCACATATGCAATGGTTTTCCATTACAGTGTCTTGCTAGACAGCTAAGTAAGGTGTTACAACTATGCTTTTGTACCAGATTAAAATGATGTACTAGATAGGAGAACCTGAATATTGTTTAGGCACAGGAACAGGAGGTACTTCAGAGGCTGTTTTGGGAGATTATTAGGGACTGAAGGGATTGGGAAGATGCTAGCTTTTTAGGGGGTTCCGGACAGAAAAATGCTGAGGCTCAAATATGCCATGAAAGTAATAATTATGTAGGTCATCTTATTCTAATTTATATGATTTTTAAGAAATAGTATGTTTTAGTTGACATTGTTGGTTGAAAGAAATGATATTTTCAGAAGCAGCATTTCACTGTAGAAAAAAGTAAACTATACTGGTCTATTGTAGAAGAGTAGTAGGTAGAAATTCCAGCTATGTATCTAAGAATAAAATTCCAAATGTGTGGCTGAAATTAAATGTCAAACAAAGCTCCAAAAGCTTCACAGCTTATCATACTTCTGTATGCCAGTTGAAGATTTTGCATACCATAAATTGTCAGGCTGCATGATATGAAAACTTGGGGAGCTATAATTACAAGAAAGCCCTTTAACTCTACTCAATATATATGATGTATGAGTCCTGTAAGGACTAGAAGGAGATAAGTCGAAATACGGAAAGATCCCATAGACAATGAAAGTGACCTGGCTACTTATGAAGACAAAAATAACATAAGATGGAAGAAGATAAGTCAAAATACAGCAAGATCCCATTGACAGTGAAAGTGACCTGGCTACTTATGAAGACAAAAATAACATAAGCTGAAGCCTGAAGTACATATAACTAGTTTCAAATCCTTTGGTATATGTAGTCGGGATGTGCCCACATCAATCTGGTTTTCTTTGCCTTGAACAATAACAGTTTAGTACTTGTTCAGTAGACAACAATGTTTCTTGAAAATACTTCCCATAATTGAAAAGGTTTTCTTCCTCTACAAGTGTACGAGTTTCTTCTTAAACTATTGTTATGAAGCTGTGACACAAGTTTCTTTCCTCCTTTTTATTTTTTATTTTTTTATTTTTTGTGTATCTCAAGTTTTTAGCTTTTTAGCAATTGTCTTGAGGAATTAGCTCACAATTGGTCATTTTGACGTAGAAGATACACTTCCATCTGCAGTTGACTTGCCATTAATTCATTATGCAGGGCGTTTTAAAACTTAAGCACCAGGCAATGGCTGATGACACTCGTCCTATTGATTCGACATGCGAATGCATGGTATAACCCACTCTCTGTCTTGTTTATCCATTTGGAATATATAGCATTTGGGTCTTGATATTCTATTATTCGATACAGGTGTGCAAAAATTACACAAGAGCTTACATTCACTGTCTTGTTACTAAGGAAGCTATGGGATCCCAACTTTTGTCCTATCACAATTTGTTTTATATGATGAAGGTAGCAACCCACAGTATTTTTCCGGAAAAGTTCTCTTGCCCTTGTTGCCCCATTCAAGTTTAATGTCCATTAACATAATCTTGCAGCTTAGCAGAAATTTACACTCATCAATTATTGAAGGCCGGTTTCCAGAGTATGTTTCTCCAATTATTATGTGAATAAAGTTGCTTGTACATAATGGAGTTAAATAATGATTTACGTAAAGATGAGTTGTCAAAAAGAGAGTGAAATTTCCCATCTTTTTTTTTTTTTTTATTTGGTTGAAGAAATTCTAATCCAATCATATCTCATCACGTCTTGTGTATGCAAACAATTATGTACATGTAGGCTGTAGCACATATATTATTTTATCTACTTTATGTCTTCTGATTGCTTCAGTTCCTTTTTTTCTATCTTGCAGGTTCATTTGCAAATTTCTGCAGAAGATGGTAACTTTGATGAAATTTATTCATCTATGTCGCTTTGTGTTATGTTTCATGAAAAAGTTGAAAGTTAGTTCTTTGTGGTGATTTTGTAGTTCCCAAAAGGCGACGTCCCTGAATGGGTCTGCAATGCCATGGAGGTTGCTGGAATCAACATTTCTTCATGCTGCGCACCCCTTCCCGTCATCCAATCATGAATTATTAGCAAATATGCAGAGGAAGGAATTAATTTAGTGAGAATTCTGCAGCTTGCTTCTTACATTAAAATGGAGGATAGGATACACACAACAAGGCAGCATAAAGTTTTGTGCTCAATATGCTGGCAAAAACCTTTCAATTAGAAGAAAACCAACACAATGGATCAATGTTGTTGTTAGTTTAATTTGATCAAGTAATCATTTTTCCTAGTTTATTCAATATTAGAAAATTTCTTGATGATGAATATGTATTACGTAAAATCATCAATTCATACATATGTCAACATGTAAATAAGATTATATCTTACTCATATTTCTAAATTTGTTACTTTTAGGGATAGTATTGCATGCACAACTCTCAAAGCCGAATTGAGTTGTGAAAACTAAAGTAATGGTTATTCACTTCAAGCCTTAGCAAACTAAAGAAGCTGAGCTGAGTAAAGTTGAAATTCTAGACAAGATAGTGCCTTCATTTGAAGGATTTTACCCGCTTGTACAGCATTGTAGCAATTCGATTCGATCATGAAGATGGAGCCAAGCATTCAAGGGTCAAAGTACCGTTTGAAATAATCACACTGAGTAATCAAGAAGTCGAGATTGCACTGGATATTGAGGAACGGATCCAAAACGTTCGTTGGTGCCGTAAAGCCCTGAATTTTCTTTAACCATCACAATGGTCAGACTTCCAAACCCATAATTATTTAAACTGGAAAATCTACCCCACTCACCCCCCCCCCCCCCCCAAAAAAAAAATATATAGCCTCATATAAGCTAGCTGATAGTCAAAATGAGCATGGTGAAAGTCCGAAGCAGCAGCGGAAGGGTGAGGTCTAAGAATTCCTCTAATGCTCAGATGACACGAGTCTCATAGAAATCCCATCTACAAAGTCCAGGAGTGTCTGGTAGGCCCTTACGGCAACGTATAAAGTCCTAGGAGCAAGGGGATACGTTTCACGATGAATAAGGAATTTTAACATATTCAATTTTCTAAATTGAAGTTGAATTTACAATTTAGATTGTTTTAGAATAAATGAAAATTTTTGGGCAATTTTACTGTTTTGGTTTACCAAAGAGCGATTGCAGTACCAATAAAAAAGACGATTGTCGCTACTGGACGACAAAAAGGGCCTTTCGAACAAAATCAACACAAAGGGGAAGTGGCATCCGTTGATGAATGGTTATACAACTGGGGTCCTTAACCATAATTGGACCCGAACAACTAGGCAATATTCATTTTTATTAACTTTTTTCAAAAGAGGTAAGATCCAATGAATTGGAAACAATTAATTAAATTTATTTATTTATTTTTATTTATTTTGAAATAGACATATCAATATGTGTGGATCATACCTTTTGTTCATTTATGATCTCTCCAAACAAGCCCAAGGGTCATTATGCTCATTACTAAACTTGTTGAAGAGATAAAGATAATGTATTGGCAAGAATGTTACTTGAAGCTGGGACACCATAATTTTAACAAAATTAAGAGTACGGGTGCAACAATAACAAGTACAAGATTGAATGACCCACTTAGCCCTTGCCTTGTGATGATTAAAATTAGTTTTTAGTAAATTTTGACAAAAGTCAATGAAATGTATGATTAAAAAGTTGTAAATTCCATGAAATGTGATTAAAATTAATTGTCGTTATTGACTCTCAAACACAGGCTTATGAAATGTTAGGCACCGACTTGGAGGTAGGGATGATATGGTTTGATTTGGATGATTTATGACAAATTTTTAAACCAAACCACTTAAAACGGTTTAAGATTTTTCCAAACTAAACCAAACCAAATCAATTCAAACCACTTTTTCAATTTGGTTCGGTTTAAAACCATGGTTTAATAAAGAAAAATAATATATATCAAATATGATAAATCATAAATATTAGTTTAAAATTTCACATGAAAACATAAATAGTATTATTAAAAAAATTAGAAACCAAAGTTCTATAATTCTAATAATTATAATGCAATAACATAATATAAACATTTTAACATCTTAGTTGATACTAATTAGCGGAATATATGTGATTTTAACATATAGCCCCCCTTTGGTCCCCATCTTTTCAAATAAAAATGGATGGGATAGTATTTTTTTTTTGGAGAACGAGTAGTTGAAAAAGAATGAAAAGTTTTCCATTTATGTGCTATATTATTTTATGGAAAATTGTATGATCGAAAATAGGAGAGAAAAAAATAAAATTTAATTTAATGAGAACCAAACAGGGGCATAATTGATTTGCTCCATAAAAATAAAAATATAGTTCATGAATTCATTGATTATAGTTAAATGATATAAACAATTAATAAAAGAAAATGAATATAAACATTAAATATGATAATACCTTCAATAACTTTTTATGATCCATCCAATATTTATACCTAGACGTTCCTTGTTACCATGTAACCATTTTTTAGGGCGAACCACCGTCTCAATTATGATTGCACTTAACGAACTCCTAAAGGAATCAAGCATATGACCACTAGTGGTGAATGTAGACTCATAAATAATTGTGGATAGTTGAATAACCAACACTTCTTCAGGAATTTGGGGAGTAATCTTGTATTTATTTGCATTCAATTTTCACAAAAGTAATATTTTTAAAAGGTTCATTGGTCAAATATTCAAAATGATCATTTATGTAATCCACCAAATCATTCTAATAAATCAATAGTAAACTCTAGAAACTAAGTTAAAATGTAAAAAAATTAATTGTGTGTCGTGATAAAAAAATTTGACATAATGATAAATAAAAAATATTGTCTGTTAAAAATATAAGCGAGTTAGATACAAACTAGAGCAAAACAAGACAGTTATCAATAAGTAAACAATTACAAAAAAATAAGGATATTTGAATGAATTGACTTAAAAATTTAGCTGAACTTCGAGAAAATTATTAGTAGAAGGAAAAAAATGTGTAAGTTTAAATTAAAATATAAAATTAATTATTTATTCAATTGTAATGGATGGTCGATGAATATGATTCAGTAGTAGTTGTTCAATATCAATACTTCACATGTACTTATACATAATAGGTTGACATGTATTTTTCACTATTGTTTCGATACTTCATTTGTATGTAAACTATTATATAATTGCTTATATATAAGTAGCATTATTTATTATCTAAATAATTAATTGGGATAAATATTGTCTAATATGGATGTATCTTCTTAATTAGGATGCGTTTAATTTTAATTGAGTTGGATAAAATTTAAATTAATTTATTTTCATTTTTTTGGTAAACGTTTGAAACGATATGTAAAGATTAAAAATTAAATCAAAACAATTCAAAGCGGTTTAGTTCGGTTCAAAATCAAAATGTTGACGGATCTACTTGGACCAAAACCAACATTTTAAAAAAAGTGATTGTGATTAGTTAGCGATGTCACCTAAAATAATTAGGAAAAGAAATCAGAAAGAACAAGATAGAACCAAAATCCAAGATAGGATAACAACATATCCCCTATATATTAAAGCACTCCACACAGACCATACACGTTCTAATTGAGTCCATTTATAATCTTTCTGCTTCCTGTCCACCTCCACACACGCAGAGAGAAGAAATGGTGCTACTTTCCTTCATTTCAACTGTACCTTCTTTGCTTCCATCACCATCTACTTATACCACCCTCTCCAGATGCTCTCGTCATTCTGTATGTGTTTCAATTTACTTTTATATGCGTGTATATACATGTACATGTGTGTGTGTGTGTGTGTGTGTGTGTGTGCGCGCAATATGTATGTATATGGGTTGGTTTCATTTTCTCATTGCAAGGAAATTTCAGGGAGTAATCAATTGCAAGGTTGAAGCTAATGTTAACAATGCGGATGGCGTCAGTCGAAGGGACATTCTACATTGCTTTGTTTCCACCATTAGCATGGTTAGTCGTTGGTTTCTGTAATTTGTTCCACTTTTTTCTTTGTCTAATTAATGGGTAAATTGTTTAATCAGTTTAGAGCACATAAATAGGGATCTCTAGATCCTGTTGGTAACTATGAATTTGCACATTATGATAAACCTCATTTGGGAATTTGTCCACATGTATATCTTCTATCATGGATAGTTTTAAGGAATTCCATTGGAACGTTGTATATTGAACTGCAGTAGTGTATTCACCGGATTTAAATGTGTGAAGTTAATATGCCAGTGGAACCTGCAAATACTAATGTGTGTTCTGCATCTGTTTGAGAAGTGTTTGGAGTAAGAAAGGGAAAGAGAGGATTCAATTTAAAAGTTCGAATTCACTACTTAAATTTTCTATTCTGCAAAAGTAAATGTGTGAAGTACATATGCCACTAAAACTTCAGATGAAATCGTTGTCTTGTTTGTCCATTTGAGAGTGTTTGGAGGAAGAATGGATTCATGATGATAGTTCGAATTCACTAGTAGAAGTTCTTCTTCACGCTCATGGATAATTCTTGAGATGTATAGAAAATTTGATGGTAGATTTTCTTCATATCAAAATTATTGTTCTGTTCAGTAACCCACCAGAAATACACACAAAAGAAAAAAAGGGCTCTGCCCCTGTCATTTGGATTGGCCTTATAAACTTGTACCATTCTTATCAACAGTATTCATGACTTTCACTGAAATTAGTTAGCACAATATGATGAGAATTTCCTTTAATTCTGTTTGCTTTGTAGGACTTGATTGCAAGATCCACTTCATTTGTTGAAGTGGCTAATGCGGCCGATTTGATACAACGAAGGCAGCGTTCGGAATTTCAATGTGAGCTCTTTGAGATCTTCAGTTCCTTTTTATGAATTATCACCTATATCTGTTCTCTTCTGCTGAAATGACATATTGTGTTTCAACAGCTGCTATTAAGGGAACCCTTGCTGAATCATTGAAGGTAAAACCTTTACTTTCACGGATTATAAATGCAGATTGGAATTGATTCAGTGTGTACCTTAACTGCAACATATTAGTTGTTTTCTGAATGCATTTAGGGGAATCCAGATCTCATCCCATCCGTATTAACTTTGGCACTTAATGATGCTATTACTTATGACAAGGTCAGAAAAAATCTGTTATAAATTTACATGGTAAAGATTGAGGCAAAGAAGAGACTGATGCACATATTTTTTAAGTCTGCAGGCAACAAAATCTGGAGGCCCCAATGGATCAATTCGCTTTAGGTAACTTGACTTAACCTGCAATAGAAGCTGCTTCTTACTAGCATGTAATGCCATTTTACTTCTGCCTCTGCTCTTTAATAGAAGTTGGGGACTTCTGTGCAAAAGTTCAAAATGCAATTTGTTATAGAAAATGAGATTATGATCTCATATTTATCAGATATAATTAACTACTCAATGATGGTACGGCATA